TAATCTAGGATCAGTTCCCTTCCCCCTTAGAAGGCAAGGTAAATATGAGCATTACAAACCTGCAGTAAGAAGATAAATCATAAAAAATAGATAAAAATCAATGATAGTGAGAATAGAAAACAATGGAGAAATTTGACAAAACTCAAAATTGGTTCATATTAAAGATTTATAAAGTTGATAAACTCTGATTCTCTAAATTCTTCTTTGCTTGCTACTTTTGCCCTAGTGAATCTGGGTTGCTGTTGTGAATGTTTATGTTACCCCTCAAATTCATACATGGAAGCCCTAAGCCTCAATGTGGTGTTATTGAGAGGTGGGATCTTTGGGAGATGATCAGGGTTCCATCAGATCCTTTGTATGGAGATCTCTCAGAGAAGAGGAATGGACATAGAAGCTTGCTCTCTGTTGGCTGCCTGAGGGTGGCTGTCTGTAGACAATGAAGAGGTACCTTAGCAGAAAATGAACCCTGACAGACTTGATTTTAGACTTTGTATCCTCTAAAACAGCAAGAAATAGAGTTTCCACTAGTTAAATAACCCTTTCAGATTTTATTACAGCAGCCTGAGCTGCCCAGATTCCATGTTGCTTTCCTCACCCATCTTAGTTGGTGTAAAGGAGGTATTAAACTTGCCCCCTAGTCTTGAACTATTCTCATCCTGTGGGTGGAACACAGTTCTATATACTCCTTGAATATGGTCATGCCAAAGTGATGGTCTTTTCTGGGAGTGCTCTGATATTTTCTGGATGTAGAGCTGCAAGAGCCAGGTAATTCCCTACTGTTATATTTCCTTATTACAATTGAATTTACTTCTGAGTACGCAGCTATTGGTGTCATACACACTCTCTACCAGATGCCTGAAAAACTATTTATCTCTTCCTATTCTATTGGAGAGCTTCTTTGTTTGGTGTTAACACACACAGCTGTCTATCTATCTTGATTTCACTCTTTATTTACTTAATATGTGCATATCTAACTTCAGAAGTTCTCTCCTCCCTCATCTAGTTTTTTTTCTGTATCATCTATAAATATGAATCTGTAAAATGAATCTGTATATGAGAGATAAAATATTATTATGAGCATTTTTCACTCTTTAGTTTTGAGACTTCTATAAAAATTTGATGACATTATCTTTTTAAAACAACTCATTCTATTTAAAATAGACACTAACAATAATAACTTATTAAATGGCTTATGCACATCTCCATAGAAGTTGGGCCAATTTCTTTAGACTGCAAAACATGATACTGCTAAAGTGGTGGGGCTCCTTGGAATTCTTTAAAAAAATTTTTTTTCTCTCAGTTAGTTTATTGGTACATTTTAAGTATACAGTATAGTTACATTCATCATTGGGATCTGGTACCTTTACATGACATGTCTTGGTTTTCATTTTTTTCCCCTTGTCCCTGCCTTCCCTTCACCCCCTCCTCCCTTCCCTATTTACAAATACTTTATTTCATTTTTTAATTTTATCATACTTTTTTCTTTTCCCCTTCCCTTCCCATTTTCCCTACACCTTTAGCCCTTTTCTTCCTATTTCACACTGTCAATTATATCATTAGGATCTTATGTACCATTACAGTTTTTCACACCACAGAAACTATTTGGTATTTATACACGTGTGACTTATTTATTTCACTTAGGAGTATATCCTCAATATACATCCATTTTACGATGAATAAATCTAATTTCTCATTATTTTGGCTGAGTAGTATTCAATTTTACAGAAAAACCACATCTTTTTTATCCAGGCTCCAACTGTTGGGCAAATGGGCTGTGACCAAGTTTTAGCTATTACAAACTGTGCCACTATAAACATAGGTGTGCATATATCACTGTGATATGATTCTTTTAGTTCTTTTGGAAAGATACCCAGCAGAGGGATAGATGGGTCAAATGGAACCTCTAGTCCCAGCTCTTTGAGGTATCTCAATATTGATTTACACAGTGGTTGCACCAGTCTTCCCTCCCACCAAATATGGAGAAGGGTTCCTTTCCCCTCACAACCCCACCAACATTTGTTATTGTGTGATTTCTTGACAGCAGCCATTCTTTGTGGGGTGAGGTGGAATCTCAGTGTTGTTTTCATCTGCATCTCTGAAATGACAAAACTACAACACTCTGAAAAAAGAGATAGAAGAGGATATAAGAAAATGGGAAGATATCCCCTGCTCCTGAGTAGGAAGAATCAACATAGTGAAAAAGGCCATGCTACCAAAACTGCTATACAGATTCAATGTTATGCTGATTTAAATTTCAATACTGTATTTCACAGAACAGGAAAAAATAATCCAAAACTTCATTTGGAACCATAAGAGACACAGAATAGCAAAAGCCATCCTAGGCAATAGACACATGGCAGTGGGTATAACAATTCCCAATTTGAAACTATACTACAAATCCACTGTGATAAAAACAGCATGGTACTGGCAAAGAAACAGGCCTGAGGATCAGTGGGATAGATCGGAAGATACAAAAACAACTCCAGATGTACTCAGCTACCTTATCTGTGACAAAGGATCTGACCATCCTCACTGGAGGCATAATAACTGGTGTTAGAAAAACTTGTTTTCAACCTGCCAAAGATTAAAACTAGACCCTTAGCTTTTACCATGCACTAAACTAAAATCTAAGTGGATTAAAGATCTAAATATTTAAAAAGTAACTAAATTTGCTGGAAGATAACTTAGGCAGAACCCTTGAAGACATTGTCATAGGAAAAGACTTTATGAACAAATCCTCAGTAGCATGGGAACTAGCACAAAGAATCAACAACTGGGATCTCATCTTATTAAAAGGCTTCTGCACTGCAAAAGACACCATCAACAGAACTAAGAGACAACCTACAATGTGGGAAAAAATTTTTACCAGCTGCTCCTCAGGCAATGGACTATTATCTAGAATATATAAAGAACTCAAAACAACCAGCTCCCCCAAATATAAAAACCCAATTCAAAAATGGGCATCTGAAATGAACAGACATTTCTCAGACAAAGAAGTAAAAGCAGCAAGTAAATGTATGAAAAAGGGTTCCACATCACTGGAATTCTAATCGAGGATCCTTATCAGAATTTTCTGGTGTACATTTACAAAATACTTGTACCTGCCTGGCATAATGGAAATAGTGGGTTTTGCTTTTTTTTTTTTTTTGTCTTTGCTTTATATTGTCATTTCTGTGGCTGATCAAAGAATCCTAATACCTCATTCATACCACAGAGCCAATTTTAAACTAGAGTCTGTGGAGTAAGGGACTGAGAGATCAATATAAAGCCTGAAGTGAACTCAAAATGATTTCTTAGAAGTATTCTTGATTCATGTATGTATTTACAGTTGTGAAACAGTAGAGATTTGTTTTTTAGATCAGAGCTTAGCACACTTTATAGTCTCTTGAGGAACATGGTGCTAGAAAATTAAAAAAAATATATATATAATTTTGTTTTTGGACCAGGGATTGAACTCTGGTCCTTGCCCTTGCAAGGTAGGCACCGGAACCACTGAGCTAAAACCCCAGCCCTGAAAATTCTATTTCTTACCATCCCACCATATTGTTGTGTATATTTTTGAGACTTTGGGTGCAGAAAGATCTGTCAAAGAAAACCAGTATAGCATAGAAGTTAAAGTCATGAAGACATATTTTTATTCAAGACTATTGTAGTAGAAAGAGATGCTTCACAATAGAAAGTGGCTCCATTCTGAATACACCTGGAATAGATGAGATTTATAGTTAAGAAGAAACAGGTCAGTAGATGGAAATTTTCTGAATAAAAGAAAAACATAAGGTCTAGGAGGAGTTCTGACTGAGCCAGCCTGGGATTCCTGTGGAACACAGACCAGGGTGATCATATACCAATGGTGGTCAGGGAAGAATTTCTATTAAGATATGGAGGATGAGAAATTTTTGCTGCCTTGCCTTATCAGGGTGATTTTCTGAAATGGGGCTTTACAATGTAGAGTACACTGGGCGTTACAAGGTAGGATTTACAAGCCTAAAAGCAGGATCATAAATCAGAATAGAGTTTATTCAGGGAATTAATCATTGTCAAATCTTTCATTGAGGAAAAAAAGTTCCAGTTAGACACAGCCACACTAGCCACTGCTGCTCTGAGAAGCTGGTTTCAATCCTAACCTGTGTAAGAGAAAGTAGTTTGGAACATCCAAAGCCTCACTAAGCTGATTTAGAGAAGCAGTATCTTCTTCATTTTCAGTCTGAGCAGCAATTTTTGTGTCTTCTAAATTAATCAGGACCATGGTTGGCAACAATCAAGTCATTTTCCCCAAAGAAAGTTAGAGTGAATGGTGTCGCCAGTGGGTGAAGAAAAGGGCATTTGAAACAAACCGCCAGACAATTCATAACATGAACACAAAAGAACATTAAAGAACAAACCTTGATGGGAAATTTCAGAAACTCTGCCATAAATTCCAGGAGGCTCAAACAGCAAAGAGCCAGTTTCTCTCAGCTCCTTTGGTAAGATTAATTGTATCATTATATTTGTAAATAGTAACACTATGCATTCCTGTAGAATTTTAGTGGAAACCATGGGAGAACAAAATCATAGTTTTTAGATCTGTTAAAATGTTTTTACCCCTTTAAGATGCATCAAATGGTGACCCTTGCCAGCTTTGTAAAAGCAACTCTGAAATGATTGTATTCAGTTTCACAAAGTAGATTTAAAACATTGTTTGTGTAGTTAAATTTTTTTCATAGAGAAGTTGCAATTCAGTAATATAATTTCATTAATTGGATTTTTTTCATAACTTTAAGTTTCTTAATATTGTGGGTCAAAGAATTCTCTGAGAATTTGATAAAAGCCTCAAAACTCTCTTGCTGGACAACTGAACATGTTTAACTGAAAGCACAGTTTCCATATCTTTAGGGGATCTATAAACAAACTCTCCCTAGGATCCCTAAATCTGCATACTGCATTTAAAAACCTCTGGAACTTGTATATGTAACATTTATACTAATTTTTAACTTAAGAGGATTTATGTTTATGTTTTTCAGGTGCCTGTACAAGAATGAAATTCGTGCACTAAATAAGCAAATATTTAAGGTACTCATATCCTTTGAACAGCTGTAAGTAATAGGATCTTCCTAATTGAATCACTACTGATTATGATCTGTATAGAAAAAAATTTTTAAAAAACTGTGCAATAGTTGAACAATTATAATAGTTATTACTTTTTTGTTGCTGGAGATCAAACTCAGGACTTTGCCTTGCAAGGCAGTCATGGTGCCACAGAGCTAAATACCCTGCCTCAAAGAGCAATTAATTTCATCTTTGTCATGTGGCTTGAATCATGAGTATTTGATTATCAGTTGGACAAAAATCAGAATGCATGACTGAGTTGGCATGGAGAGAGTGAGACAGAACTCAGTTAGCAACCTGATTTCTGCACTGATTTGTTGTGTGACTTGGGGGAAGTTACCATTCCTAAGTCTCAGTCCAGATTTCTGAAATGCAGGTATGTCTGCTATGAACTGATTAAGGTTTGGGTGCAAATAGACTAGTTTATTACTTGCAGAAAATAGGCATTTTATAGACACAAATTCATACTTGAGAGTCTTAGTAATTTATGAAATTCAGATTTTTAACCTACATAAAGAATGACCAGAATATGAGATGTAATTTCTTTTTTTTTAATTTAAATTTCATTGAGTTTATTGGTACATTTTAGGGATACAGTACAGTTACATTCATTGTTGGGATCATGT